AGTACGTCGATTGTCACTAATATGTCGATTTTTTAATCCATGCAAAATTTTCTTTAGAAGACTATAATCATTATATTAGTAATAAGATCAGTGCGAACGTTCGAAATAATATTGTTAGAGCGTAGAGAGAAAGGAGGAGAAAAAGAAGGAGAAGATGACGACGATTATATTCGAACTCGGCGAAGATGATCGTAGATAATTACGAAATGATCCAAATTTATGATATTTTTTTGATAATCCTTTGATCCGTGATAAAGTGAATCAGCTGATTATATAGTCAATGGGGACATGTAATAAAAATCTTTCCTTTTTTTTCCTTTTTTCTCTTCGTAAAAATAAATCTAGTGCGTTGTAACATCTTGCAAGAGAAAATCTGTAAAAGTTGAGGGTTGCGGAATGGGAGGAGGAGGAGGAGGAGGAGGAGGAGAAAGAAGAGAGTAGTAAGGGGGTGAAAAGGTTGAGGGAGTAGAGGGTGGTAGTGTTGGTAGTGCTGGTAGTGTTGGTGTTGGTGTTGGTGCTGGTGTTGGTGTTGGTGTTGGTGTTGGTGTTGGTGATGGTGATGGTGCTGGTGCTGGTGCTGGTACTGGTACTGGTGGTATATAGTAGGAGATCCTAGAAGCACACAGTGTACGTGCACGGACTGTAAGCTGCTATCGAGCGGATAGACGTGCGACATTTCCCCGTCTGTCCCCTCAAACCTTCTTCCCAACCCTATCTTTCCCATCCTCTTTCATCTCTTCCTCTCTTGGACCCTTCGCCTGTCGTTATGTCTCTCTCTCTTTCTCTCTCTCTCTCTCTCCCTCTCTCTCTCTATTTCTCTCTCTTTCTACGTGAGGGTGGAAAGAAGAGGAGAAAGCAACACTCTTCTTTCCTTCTTCCATGAACCTTCATTTTCTTCTTCTTTTTTTCCCTATCTAGCTCTCTTTTTCGTCTTCTTCTTCTTCTTCTTCTTATTCTTTTTCCTCATCCTCATCCTCATCCTCTTCCTCTTCCATTTCCTTTTCGTCATCTCTTTCCTTTTGCCCAGAGAAGAAGAACCCTACGCCAAAATCGTTTCACCCTTTATCCAGGTCTCACTCCCTTTCTTTCTACCGCGCCCTCTTTACCACTCCCCCTCCTTCCCTCCCACTCAACTCTTTTTTCTCTTCTTCACCCTTCTCCTTTTCTCTACTCCTTCTTCTTCTTCTTTTTTTTTTTTTCTTCCTTTCTCTTTTTTCATTTTTTTTTTCTTTCGTCCTGACACAGCCGCCGTCTCATTATGGTTACCATCGCTCTAGAAACCTTCCAATCTCCACTAGGCTCCTTCTATTTCACCATCATCCTACTTTCGAGAACAGTATCGTCTTAGATATTTTTCTTGTTTTTTTCTTCTACTTCTTCTTTCCTTTTCTTTTCTGTTCTCTTTTCGTTTTTGTTTTGTTCTTTTTTTTCTATTTTTTTTTTTTTTTTTTT